AGCGTTGGCAATAAAACCTGGAAGCTGATTGGTTTCTATCCAGGGCTGCACCAGATTTTGCACCATGCAATTCTAGTATCTAACCCCCAGTGTGTTTAAGCAAAACAAATGTCATTCATTCAGGGTTTACCTGTTTTTCTGAAATTTATCTGAGCACAAAATATTGACCTGATTAAGTATTCACAGAAATGCTAATTACAGAGGAGCCAACATGCCCCTTGTGTTGAGCAATCTGGAAATTAAAAGCTAAATTGGGTCATAGGCATTAGACAGAGGTCAAGCAGTATGAAACAATCTGACCACCAAGAACTCTCTCCTCTTGCATTCACATAATGCTAATTCCCATATCTCACTATTTGCATATCTTGTTATAGTTTAGCCCTTCCACAGCTGTGAAATTACTGGTTAGTTTTCCCATTGTGCTTGTTAGTTTAAGAAAGACAAATTTTAAAAATCTGCAAGCAGTTGTAATGGCTGCAGAATCTATCTTTTTGTGTATTTGTCTGGCCACTCTTTCATTCCAATAATGTCTCCTGTACTATAAAGAGGTTTAATCCAGGTAACTAATGTTGAAATACAGTATTTTGTTTGTTCAATAATTTCTCTCTCTGCCTGCTGACTTGTGTCTAAATCTTGTCTGATTCTTGTGCTCCCCTTAAAGTGATTGCTCCAGTCCATTTTTCAGGATGAAAAATTTTTGTAGGAGCGCCTGGTAGAAAAGTTCATGTAACTTACAGGTCTTTTGGAAAAATGTATTGGTTAAGGGCCTCAAATGCAGCCAACACTATTTCAGGGAAAAAAAGCTTCCCCCTTCTTCAGGGCAATCTCTCTGAATGTGCCTGCTGTCTCCAGTCTGAAGTTCACCTAATTCTTCTGTGGCTCCATGCCATTGTGGGTTTCTTGATGGTGACTAGCAAGCATATGCACTTTATATTGAACAACTGAAGTCTTCATCAGAAGTCTGTGTGACAGGATGACAATGTAGATTCATGATTGGGAGACATGGATAGAGTCTTGTCACGCTATGACAGGGAATGCCTGAACAAAAAAAAACTAAACAATAACTTTGAATTTAGGCTTTAAAGTGGACCTTCAACCATCAAAATTACTTTATTTTCTCCTTGTTCCCCCTCCCTCCTTTTTCCACAATTGGGGAACACTTCCCCTTTTTTAGAATGGTTTCTTACCCTTTGGGTGCTGCAGGCAGGAGCTTCCTGCTTTCTCACCTAGATTGATGTAGGGACCTACTGTCTCCTGAGCTTTCCATGTCATTCATCGCAAGAGGCAGTCTTACTGATGGGCACATGCAGAATTCTGTGTGTGTGCTGACATAACACTGCTCTTTATCAGGTATTTGGCAGAGACTCGCAGCATGTCTGCACATGCATGGGGGATTGCTGTGAATGTACACACATGACACGTGTATCTACAAGGTCCCAGACAGTGTATGCACATACATGGGAATCGTCTATGCATGTAAAGATGGCAGTGCAGAAGAGGACCCATGGAATGATTACTTTGCAGGAGTGAATTTTAATTGTAAATAAAGATTACAAGTCACATACCATAATAAGTACAACCAGACAAGTTAAACAATTCTTAGAGTAGTAGCTGTAAAGAAATGTGGACAAAGTAGAAGAAAGAACAATTATAAAAGCAATTTGTGCACCAAATACTGGGTGCTTGACATTCTGTACTTACGTCCCAAATCTTATCCTCTTACTGTATGTAATTGTATCTTTCCTGAGAGTGTACAGTACATGGCCGACCGATGACCTGTTACTAGAGACTGGAAAAAAATCATTTGTCACCAGAATCCCTAACTTGTAACAGTGTTAAGATTTCTCTGCATTCAATTTCAGAATGATCCTGGCGTCTGTCATTCTACATTATCTTGATTTATGTTTGTGTTTCATAAGCAAACACAAATGGTCTCTCACTTCCTCTGCAAGTTATTTCCATATGTATTGTCTTTTGCATAATTTAACCAGTGGATTGTGAATTATCCCTCTATGCAGGCTTTAGAATCATACACTTACATTGTGTACATTGCAAAAAGCAAAAACATACTTACTAAAAACACAAGTATATGCATTACACATTTGTACAAATGTAATAAGATGAAATGGAGTGGATAAATGCACTTTGTATTAACACTGCCCACACGCCTCCACTTTTCCTTAGTAGTAAAATTCTATATCAGGCTTTCTCAAAAAGGTTCCATGAAATGTTAAAGTTTCTCCAGAGTTTGCTAGGGGTCCTTCAGCAGTAGTGGATTAAACCCCCAATTGATGGTGCCTGCATATTTCTGGCACCAAAGCCACTTGGAAGAGCTATTGGAATGAGACCAGTCAATCTGGTCTCCTCACTGTCACCCAGTGCATGGGAGTGCCACATGGACTATCATGTAAAAGAGATTTTCCCCAATGACCATTTGGTGAATAAAGAATAGCGGTGACTCAAAAGAAATGGAGAAAAAGGGGGAAGAAGCCTCAGGAGA